CAGTTGGGAAAAATGTTGAACATTCACCATTCAACCGTCTCCAGAGTGTTGAAGCGGTTCCAGGAGCGGTTGACGTTGGACCACGGCAAAGGAGCTGGAAGAAAACCGGAACCGGAGAACAAAAAGACGGAGGGAAAGGTGAAGCGGATGATTAAAGCAAATCCCAACGTCGGCATGTCGCAGAGCTACGTCCAGAATGCAAAGAAGAGAGCTGGACTACATACATACAAGGTACAGAACTTCCCAAACCGCGATGAGCGGCAACAATCGACGGCTAAAACTCGGGAACGGAAGCTCTACGAGAAGATGCTGACAAAATATGGCTGCTGTGTGATGGACGACGAAACGTATATAAAAGCCGATTTTAAGCAAATCCCGGGGTTGGAGTTATTCACCGGCAAGAGTAAGTTCGATGTGGACGACAAATTTAAGAAGAAGAAAATGTCGAAGTTCACCTCCAAATATCTCATTTGGCAGGCCATCTGCTCTTGCGGACTGAGGAGTGAGCCTTTCGTGAAAAAGGGCACAGTAAATGGCGAGATTTACAAATCTGAGTGCCTCGAGAAGCGCCTTTTGCCGTTCTTGCAGCAGCACGACAAAGCTCCGCTATTTTGGCCAGATTTGGCATCATGCCACTATTCTAAAAGTGTCCTGGAGTGGTATGAGGCCAATTCTGTCCATTTTGTTCCAAAGGACACGAATCCGCCAACCTGTCCGGAGCTGCGCCCGGTGGAGCAGTACTGGGCAATAATGAAGCGGGAACTTCGGAAGAGCAAGAAGACAGTCAAAGACGAGAAGGACATGTTAAGAAAATGGAAAAAAAAAACTGAGAAACTGGTACCGGATGACACTGTAAAGACTTTGATGGAGGGCATCAAGCGAAAATGCGTTCAATTTTACACTCAAGGCTCCATCGATTAACTTTTCTTTTGATTTTTGAAGTAAATATATGTATAAAACTACCCTAAAATTTTGGTTTGATTCTAAACATTATAAGAAAATTGGCATGACATTTTCGGTGTCGCAATAATTTCGTGTTCGCCCTTTATTAGCATGTTATCAGTGACAAAGTGCTGCTTGCTTTTCTATCCATTCCAATCAACGGAATTGTCCAAAACTGTTTGAAAACATTTTTACAACGCTCCAAACTTTTCAGGTGAGTGTGCCTAATATCGGCAGCCTCTTTTTCTTAGGCAACCTTTTCATTTAAACTGCATGTTAACCAGCTGTTCTATAACCGGAAACTCGCAATCAGCGAAATTTTGTAGTGCGTAAATTTCATTGCAAGAAAAATCTGTCATAACAGGATTGCTTAGTCGTAAGAATGTAATTAGATGATCAGACGAAGCTGAAAGGCTGTTTTTAAGCGAAAATACACTGAAATTTACGTTTAAATTTTGGCTGTCGCAAACAGTCAATGCTTAAGCCAACATTTACCCTATCTCATGGAATGCTTGTAATATTTTTTTTGCAAATTTTCTTCGAAAAGCTATCAGGATAAAATCTTGATGCCTGTGACTGTACCTCATTAGAATCGAAGCTGAACAAGTCTAGTGCCGGGTTGCCGTGTTCAAAACCACGATTCTAACACGAAACTCAGACTCACCAAGAAAGCAATACTACCTACCTAGCAGGCGTTTCAATGTTTGATGATGATTTATTCGAATAAGAGATCAACAATAAACGTACAACTTGAAATAGAGAACATTCGATCTAGTGTAACAATGATAAATGGGGCAACTCATTTGCTTCTCCCGTCGATAGATCTATGGTAGGTTCCCAACAAAATCTAGTCGTCGAGTACAGTAATAGAAAAATACAAAACATTCTATCCTTATCAAGCCTATTTGAACTCCCCTCAATTCCCATCACCACTAGATATAACAACCTGCAGTTTTCTTAAATGCGAAAGATCTCTGTTTTCTACTGAACCCTTCTTCCTTACCCTACCGCTAGCAGCCTAGAACGCAGCCTAGATGCTCTATCATCATTTCTAATACATATGTGTAACGGAATGCGCTAATAAAAGTTTGACTCTGCCTAAAGCGAACAATTTACAGCTCTTCTCTATGATAATGTTTGAACTACTGGCTTGACTGGAAAGTATTAGAACATTTTTTGAATCGATTCTAAAATTGAAAGTGTGTAGTTAAGCGAACCTAGCAAGCATGCTCTTTGAGAATGATTTTTGTGGTTTATGTGTGGAACGATTTGAAAAAGTGAAAATCTTAAAAATTAGTGCATACTGTCTAGAAAGTGTCGTTTGGTTGGTTTCACGTAATATTCCGTACCGGCGGTCCCATGGGTTCATGTGTCCGGGTGTTCATCTGACATTTACTCCCCAACTTTCTTGACCATCCTAGATTTGTTTTGTTTTAGATAAGAATAAGCGGCAACAATTCCGTTAAACTAGACTAGATCTGGTTCACTTTTCGTTTACTTGAATTGTTATTCAAAATGTATCTTATACTATGAGAGATTGAAAAATTTGTTATTCTATGTTGATTTCGTTTGTTCTGCACTTTTATCTTCATTCTAATTTTTCTGAAATGAATGAATACGTATTGACTTGAAATTAAAGAATTTGACGAGAAAAGTTACTTATACTAAAATATTTCCGACTGTGTTTCCACGTCACACCAGGCTAGGTCCTTCAACTAATGAATATTGCTCTTTCGCAGTTTTCGTACGAGATTCCTACTGTTTCTCATTGATTTTTGTTTCGCCCGTTTACGATTTTCTTATGGCCTTACTTGGATGGATCATTTTCAAGATTTTTTTTAGCTTAATATCTGCCTACACTCACTAGATCTTTCATCCTAAAATAATTGAATCTCAAGCCTTCTAGTGGTTCAAATTAACACTCAAACGGTTTCAACGCGTCTTGAAATTACATACAAGAAAATTTCCTAATATTTGCGATGAATCCTACAGCACGGACGAATATGGCGTTAGATTTTGGTGTTCCAGATGGTTGTTCGGTTTTTACTACGGTAACGCTGGTGACGGGTGCCAGGATGCGTCCCTCGATGAGGATGGTTGCGAGTATCCTCTCGAGAGTTTCACAAGAACTGAAATTACCACTAGTTTCATTACTAACCTTACTACTACTATCGCTAGATTGCGCAGCCTTTGGCCAAGGATTGCCCTCGCTGCTCTCGTTGGAGGCCTTTTTGTCATCATCATCATCATCATCATCGTCGTCGTCGTCGTCGTCGTCGTCGTCGTCGTCAGAGTGATTGTTGGCTTCAGTTGCTTTCAGATGATTGAATGCGCACGGTTCGGTCGTCTTCTGGTCATCGTCATCGTCGTCATCGGTCTTCACTACGGTATCGTCGTTGGTGTTGTTGGCTCTGGAGATTTGTGCGTTCCCAAACCTGTGCTAGCACCAGTCACCTTCATCCGATTCGGAATAGATTGAGTGCATTCCCACCTTGGGTTTGAATCCGTTGAGGGCCGACGAACCGAACGCACTACCGCCGGTGCGGCCCAGATTGTACAGGTGCTCGTACGATAGGGGTTCCACCCTGAAACGATCTTTCTCTTAGAACCAGGGGGTGGCATTGCGTGCATTATGATCGGTATTAAGAATGTTTTAGTCAATACTGAAATAGTGACATGATTTCTTGTCAAAGTAATTAATCTGGTGGAAACCTCACTACATTTGAATTACATGTGTGAATGATGTGTTTGTTTTGGAAATAACTCAACTTAAAACTTTTAAGTATGATATTTTAGATCATATTTGCAAAATAATTTAACAAGACCAACATTTCGGACTGTTTTTTTTTTCTTTTTTCTTTTATATTATAGTCACTTTAACACTCTTGGGTCATTCGTGACTTGCCGGGAGTGAGATTTGAACTCGTGACTTTGGCGTGAGAGGTATAGATGTTAACCACTACGCCGGGGTCGCCCCCAACTTGGACTCTGACTAGGACTCCGACTCCCCTGATTTGATGTTAACCGACTCCGACTCCGACTCCGACTCAACAATAATTAAAAAAAAAATAAGAAATAAAAATTCCGTTAAAATTTCATGCACATTTAAGCAAAAAAATTCTAGCGAATTAATTTGGAAATTTTTTGATTGGTTTTTCAAAAACATTTCAGACTATTTTAAAATAAATTCTTGATCACTGATTAAAATACAATAAAATTTCAAATAAATCCAGTAATCCATCCTACCTATTTTAATGAAATTGTGCCAAGGCTAATGCTTTACACCTTAATTGAAGATTGCGATTGAGTTTGAATTTATAGAAAATTGCTATTCGGGATTTTATTTGCCGTAGTCCCGGAATCCCAATTTTACAAAATCGAAGCTTGAGAAAACGTAATTTGGTCGACTTAAACTTGTCGCATTTCTATTTTGATTTTGACATTTCGACAGTGAGCATGCATAAGGGCGTAAACGTGATGATCGATTCTCTTCGTCGATTTTTCTCTTTTGTTAATAACTCGCTAAGCGGCGCCGGTGATGTAGTGGTAAGCGCGATTGCTTCTCACCCCAGCAGGCCTGGGTTCAATTCCAATCGGCGCCACCGGGATGTTCTGAGGCATGACATCTCTGATCACGGGAAGTAAAGCCGTTGGGCCCCGGTTCATGAGTTGATGGGTCGATAGTTAGGGTCCAGGTGTGGGAGCTGCCTCCCTGGCGTCGGTAACATTAGTGCTCAGCACGGAAAACAAGATCGACGGAAAGCAAATTAAGGAAAAAAAAAAAAATTACTCGCTGGATTCAATGTTTCTCGGTGCGTTTGCTGTGATTTTTGCTGTGATAGCCAATACAACCTGTTACTACTCTGCATTGAACAAATTCTAGAAAATCGCTTAGCTGTAGCCATGCAAAGAGAAAATCGATGAAGATAATCGATCATCGCGTATACGCCCTTATGCATGCTCACTGTCGATTTGCTCTTCAGTTATCAAAATGGCGTCTTAGCAAGAGGAGCAAAGCATCAAAATCTTAAACGCGCATCGTAAAAAACCCGAACTACTCACACGCCAAGTTAGCGAAATCGTTAAAAGTGGCCAAACCAACAGTCACCAACGTAATAAAAGCATAGAGGTAACTCTAAGACCACTGGGTCCCGAAGAAAATCATTATTATTTTTGGCTCACTCAGTACCAGAACAACGGTCCCAAGCAGTCCCAAGCTATTTCACTCACCCCTGCATGTTCTGCATGAATCCACACACCCCTGATGTTATCTGTCAAACTTTCATAGCGAATCAAAACAAACATAGTGTAGTAATAGAATTTCAACTAGAATAGGGTACGTTAATCGTTTGCTTGGGACCAATAGGCTACTAAAGTGGTGAGCCAATTTAAAATCGTTAGTTTCGTATTGATTGTTGATAAAAGTGTTCGGAGGACGTTTGTCGACAGCCAGGAAGCCTGGATCGGTGGAAAATCAAAAGCCAAAAGCCGCAGTGACGACAAAAAGAGTGGCCCGCGGTTTCAAGCGGAACCCCAACCTCTCGGTCCGAGATGTCTCAAACAAGCTGGGAGTGTCGTCTATAACCGTGTATCTAGCTAAAGAACGAGCCATGCTGTCGACTTATAAGAAGGTAGTGATTCCAAATGGCAACCAAAACACGATCCCGGAAGCTGTACACGACGATGCAGACAAAGTTCGATTGAGTGGTAATGGAAGACGAAACCTACGTCCAGGGTTCGGCTAAAAACTCAGAGTGTTACAATAGACACTGGTCACATAACATATGTGGAACTCGATCATCAAAAATCGACCCCATTTCAGCGATTTCAAGTGGTATTGAAGGACATCGATCTGTCAAATTGATTATACCAGCTGTAAAATGAGAAAGGGATCAAGGGGCTTGTCAATTCTTTTAAATAATTCTACCGTGGTTTATAATTCTCTGTGTTCCTAGCACTCCTGAGCTCACTTATGTGCCTTATTTATAATTATATAGCTAACTTTAACAAATTCATCGCCTTGATTCACACAGCAAAACTGTGGTAAACTTAGAGGAAACATGTATGTAACATTTCCTTTTTTGGACATTTTCTAATTTTTTTGGTACCAATTGCATCAAACTTTGATTTCATTATGTTTTGTAGGAGGAAAAACCCGACCACGTAAATTTTGCATTAAGTGCTTACATTTTGAAGTCCAGAGAGAAGCAGCAAAATTTGGAACAAGAGTCATAAGTGTGCAGTGTTTTGAGCTGACTTTGCATCGTTCCATTCGCAAGAATTTTGCAAGCAGGACGATAAATGATATCGAGCGCTTATCAATACCTGCAATATCCAAGATTTCAACACTCCCTATGTTTCTCAATTGCCGTCAATTGAAAATTTCTTCAAAAAAACGTGGTAAGGTTGATCCTTGTTGATCGAAAAGGCAAAGGAGGAGCTACACACAATCATAACCCATTTTTTATTCGACCACTATGGCTAAGGTCCCAGAATGAGACTCCCAGCTAGCTGTATCAAAGTTAAGCACTATTAACGAAAATAATCGTTAATATGCATCAACTGGATATTTCGTGATGTAATCATGACACACTAAAAGCACAGTCAACAATATTTCAACATACCACAGACAAAATGATAGTTTTACACTTATTCAACGTAATCATCAAATCTTCGAATTTTTTGCATTTAATTACATGCAATTAACATAATTTCCGTAATGAATCCAATGTAAACGAAAAAGATCGAAGAGACGAAGAAATATTGCTTCTGTAAATAGGCAATATTACCAACCGGTGGAAACTAACAATTTGAAATTGGCTCACTACTTGACTAGCCTATTTGTACCAAGCAAATAGATTAACGTACCCCATTTTAGTCAAAATTCTAGTACTACACTATGTTTGTTTTGATTCTCTATGAAAGTTTGACAAATAAAATGGTGGGTTCGTGGATTTTCCTATGTTTCGAGGGTGAATCGATTAGCTTGGGACCGAAAAGAGTACCAGAGCTGAGCCAAAAAGTTGAGCACGTTTCTTCGGGACCTACTAGCATAGAGTTAACTCTAAGACTAGAAGGTCTCGAAGAAACGTGCTCAACTTTTTGGCTTAGCTCTAGTACTATCTTCGGTCCCAAGCTAATCGATTCATCCCTCGAAACATAGGAAAATCCACTAACCCCTCATTTTATCTGTCAAACTTTCATAGCTTATCAACACAAACATTGTGTAGTACTAGAATTTCGACTAGTATGGGGTACGTTAACCGTTTGCTTGGGACCAATAGGCTAGTCAAGTAATGAGACAATTTAAAATCGTTAGTTTCGTATTGATTGTTGCTACTAGTCTTAGAGTTACCTCTATGATATTAACAACGCTCTTGATTGGCTTCTGGCCGACTTGAAAATACTAGAAAAAATCCTTTGAGAAACCCCCTGTCGAGCTAGTCGAAAAAAGAATGCCCACACGTCAAACTCAGTCAAGTATTTAAACAGCAGAGAAACAAAAGAGACGACAAATTATCTGGACCTCACCTGTTTACATCTCATTACGCATTACCGTGACTATTGACAATTCGCCTCTTCGTTCACTTTGTAACTCTTCACTCCTATGGTAAAATCCCATAAGCGAACATCAGTCTGTGCTTGAAATTTGGTGAACATTTCCTTACCCTTTCACTCATATGAAAATCCCATATGATTTTGTTAATCTTTGCGTGAAGAAACGGCGGCTTGCTGGAGGAATGAAGAGATAAGACAAAGTCCGCTAGATTTCATGCACAGATTGTCAGATGCTTCTGGGATGTTACCAGGAGTAAAGAGTTGCAGAGTCGCCGTCAACGTCAATGTTAACTTTTGTAAGGGCCAATGCTGCAAACTTTAACAATTACTTTTTGCGTGAATTTCTCTAAAATGAAAACTCACTCAAGAAAACCAAAACCATGATTGTGTAGAGAAAGAGTCCTCTTATCCGATAAAATTAGTGGCTTACATGGATTGACTTTGACGTACGAGACATTTACGAAATAAGCCATTATTTATGTTTTCGACATTGGTCCTTATGAATGCTCAGTGTCGATATAACGAAATTTTTATTTTGACAGATCGATGTCCAACTATGCCAGTTATACCACAGAGGCAAAACAAAAAAGGGGTCAGCTTTGAGTCAGCTTTTTGCATTGTGTTCCACACATGTTATGTGCACTGGTGCTACTCTCAAATAAGGGAGCGTGTCTCTTGTATTTGGAAGGAGAAAGAGACAAAGATTTCATACCTAAGTGAGAGAAGTTGGATTGCACAGGTGTTACTTGCGTTTGCACAATCGAGTAGTGCACGGTGTTATGACGAGAGTAGCACTTTTCAATTGGGGGAGACGTAGCTTAGAGATTTATAGGAATGAATGCCTATGTTAGGCTGGGTGCATAATATTTAGACACTTATCTTCTTTCCTTTATTTAACGTCGGTCTCTGTTCCGCAATCTAGTGCCAATCACTGACGGACATCCATTGCCATCCATTGACGGCAATCGAATGTGCAGGAAGGCAGCTTCCACACCTGCGTAGGATATCGCACCCATTCATCAACACA